AGGGGCCACCTCCCAACGGCCCCAACCGCCTCCCAACAGCTCCAACCGCCTCCCAGCAGCTCCCACTGCTTCCCAACAGCTCCCACTGCTTCCCAACAGCTCCCACTGCTTCCCAACAGCCCCAACCGCCTCCCAGCAGTCCCGACTGCCTCCCAGCAGCTCCCACTGCTTCTCTAAAGCCTCCACCGCTTCCCAGAAGCTCCCACCACTTCCCAACAGATCCCATAGCCTCCCAGCAGCTCCCACTGCTTCCCAACACTGCTTCCCATCACCTCCCAACAGCTCCCACCACCTCCCAACAGCTCCCACCACTTCCCAGCAGCTCCCACTGCTTCCCAACAGCTCCCACCACCTCCCAACAGCTCCCACTGCTTCTCTACAGCCTCCACCGCTTCCCAGCAGCTCCCAATGCCTTCCAGCAGCTCCCACCACTTCCCAACAGCTCCCATAGCCTCCCAGCAGCTCCCGCTGCCTCCCAACCACTCTCACTGCTTCCCAACACTGCTTCCCACCACCTCCCAGCAGCTCCCACCACCTCCCCACAGCTCCCACTGCCTCCCAACAGCTCCCACCACCTTTCAACAGCTCCAGTTACCTCCTGGCAGCCCCTAAAGCCTCCCAGCAGCTCCCATCACCTCCTGTCACCTCCCAGCAGCTCCTACTGCATCCCAGCAGCTCCCACGGCTTCCCAACAGCCCGGACCACCTCCCAGCAGCTCCCACCACCTCCCGGCAGCTCCTTGCCCTCCAGACCAGGCTTGGAAAGCCCCGGGCCCCCAGGGAGCTCGGGAAGCCCAGCCCGGCGCCGTTGCAGGGGACAGAGGCAGCCGGTACCTGCTCCCGCTCGGCCGTTTTGCGCAGCTTGTAGATGAACTCCACCATGGCCACGAGGACGGAGAGCACGAGCCCCGCGGCCAGCACGATGAAGATGCCGCCGATGTTCTGGATGCCCAGGGCGCTGGCCTCCTTGCTCTCGTCCTCGGGGCAGCCGTTGCCGCGCCACCACTTCTCCTTCATCACGTGCAGCTTGTCCTCCTCCTGCAGCTGCAGGATGGCGATGGTGATCTTGTCCCGGTACGGCGACCCTGCGGAAACCAGGGCACGGGGAAGAGGAGGGCACGGATCACTCGAGGAGGGACACGTTGGGCACGGCTGCTCCAATCCCTCGGAAACGCCGTGGGTCGCCGCGTGCCGCCCCGCGCTCTGCTCACCCATGGGAGTGCCGATGCCGTAGCCCTTGGTGTCGATGAGCCCCCCGATCTGCGTCAGGTTGCAGTTCCTCTGCGTGATGTACTCGATGGTGGTGGACTCCATGAGCAGCGCGTAGTCGGCCGTGAGCGTGCGCTGGATGCCCTCCTCGTTGTTCTTCACCAGCGCCGTGGGCTTGCTGCTCATGAACGCCCACATTTTCTCAAAGGTGGAAATTTTGGATTTCTGCAAAAACAATCACCCCAATAAGAAGCACCCAAAATAAGAATTAATCTTCTAATTGCTGCAAGAAACACCTCTAAAAACAAATATATAGTAAATAAAAAGTATCCGTTTGAGAACAGGTACAGTGAAACTATTATCACTTTGACTTTTAAATATCTCCCTGCCCGGAGCTGTTTGGCACCAGCCGGCCGTAACAAGAGCAGACGATCCCATCGCAGCTCATGTTGTGCAAACTCCGAGCGAAAACACAGCGCCTGCTCCAGGGACCTCGGGCTGGAAGCGGAAAAATTCCTTCGTCTCAGTAAGGTACAGCAAGACCCTGCCTTGATGCCCTGCAGAACGTGCTGGAGCGACAGCCTATCGGTAAATCTGCTTAAACTTATTAGTTTCCCAACCAGGCTTTTGTTTATCCTGTAATGCTGCTGCACAATGAGGGAAGACAGAGAACATTTCGGAGGGCATGTTTTCCTTCTTTGCACACTCTGGATTATATTTTTGTCTATCCTTGCAGCCTCCCAAGGAAACATGTCTCCTCTGAGATATGTGCAACTGCCAAACAAATTTAACATATCCACATAAACAGAGGCATAGAAATGTTCGAGAAGATTTTGTTACGGCTAAAAATAACCAATGGATGTTCTTCCACTATCAGCAGTCTATTGGAAAGAGAGGAGCGTGTTTTCTAGGTTGCTATTAATATGAATGCTTTTTTCATTTTTCATTAGAAATTTTCATTTTGCATCAGAAATTTTCCTTTTTCAGCAGGGAGCTGTCGTGTTGCTGTCCATGACGTGTTAAACACAGTGGTGCGCGGGTGTCCCTAAAGACGGGACCCGTGTAGGGTCGGCGTTGGTGGCAGTGCCAGCCCGGCTGCTCTTATATATAGAACAAAAACGGAATAAAACAGCCAACCTCCACTGCGGTTATCACATCTTCCCCCCTTTTTTCTGGTACCATCTATAAGATGCCATCGGTTTCTTTCTGATTAAAACCTCTCTATAATGCATAGTAAATTAATTAAAAGATAGAGTTAAAATGAAAAATCCCTCGTAGTATTTTATGTTTGAAGTGCTTTGCCTGTCCTCCTCCTTTTTCTATGCGCTCAGTGAAAGTTGAGCCGCTTTTTGGCAGTTGTCATGTAACGAATTTGGTCCGTATTGTGCGGTAACAAGGGCTCTTTCTCTGTCCTTAACCTGGCTGGCTCCGTCTCGTGCCTCGGATATCCTTGGCCTTATTTCTCCTTGGTTAAAATTCACGCTTGCTCTAATCCCCTTGATGAGCTTGCTGGGGTGGAGGTGCTGGAGCAAGCGCCGTTCGGGAGGCCGGATAATCCCCCGCGCTTGGAAATCCGGCCCGGTGCCTGCAAGGTAGATTTGTGGCATCCATCAAACCTCAAAGAGCAGCAAGAAATGTAGCCTCCAAAGGGATTATTAAATATCTGTACATTACGGTGGGTAATTGAAATGAGTAACGTACTGGACTCGCTGATAACGGCTTGTTTAACATTTATATAGTTCACATGAAAGGCCGAGTTCAGCAGCTCTCCCGGCACTCAGGGCTCCTCGGTGTTGACACAGAGCTCTTAAACAACATCAGCGTCCCCCAGTTTAAAGCACAGAGCAAAATAAACTGGCAAAAAATCAATAGGCTGCATTTAGTGAAGCTAATAGGACTTGCATGAGGCATGGCAGCTCTTCAGGCAGCTTAAATGGCATGAGACAGGGCTCCTGGAAGGGAAAAGCTCTTTTCTCCTCTTGAGGCGCTGCCCTGCCTGTCCGAACGGCCGTTTGGGAGGCCGGGACGCCCCGTTCCCGCTCGGCTCCCGCTCCCAGGGCTCTCGGAACCCTCCGGCTGCTCCCGGGGTTTATTCTGGAGGAGTCTCCCGAGCTCCTTAGCACGGAGTGGCCGTCCCCGGCGCGGCGCTCGCGGCGCCCTCGTGGATTTGGCCATTTGGGAAAGGGCCAGTTGAAAAGCGGCCGGCAGTGGCCGCGCGGGCGCTCGTCGCCCGTCCTGCCGCCTCTCCTGGCACCGCTGAAAAGCCCCTCGTTCCTGGGGGGCTCCGTGCTCCTACGGCCCCTCTCGTGTCCTGTAGCCCAGGAGTCTAAGCCCCCTTCCCACCTCTCTGCAGCTCCGATGGCTCCGGGGTCACTTATATCCGGGGAGCTGGATGGTGCCACCGGACAACGTGCAGCTGGAAGGAGCAAAAACTTCTGAGATCCGCCAGCTGTAAACTAGCAGCAACACATGTGCATAACTAGGGTTATTTTGCTGCAGCTTTGTCCTCTCTCATTTTATATATTAAGTAATTTTTGCGTCTGGAGATGGGGCGTGCCGCTGCGACCGCAGCGCCGAGACGCCCCAGCGTTCATCCATTGGATCCAGAGCTTGGAAGCTGCCTTTAATAGCCAATGTTTCAAGAGCAGTCACCCAAATAAATTAATGGAATAGTTTAGAGGAGCCAATGGAAGGCACCTTGCCAAGACACATACGCTTTTTATCAGCAGAATTGGCAAGAAAGTAACTTGCGGGCTGGCGGTTTTCAATTCCAGCCTCTGCGAGAAAATAAATTGATTTTCACCAACTGAAGATACTTACTCGCAGGGATTTCACATTTCTGTACAAGTGGATGTATACGTGCACGCGTGCTGACGTGCGTGCTGCAAACCGCACGGGAAGCCCAGCATTTGTTAGGGAGAGGCAGCATCCTTCTGAGGACGGGAAGGATTTTTGGCACGATCCGTCGTGGGAGGAAGATGCTGTTCCGACATTAACCGATCCGTGCTCATTCCTGGAACCCAGTCTGCATTCCCGGGGAATAAAGAGTTTCCCACACGCTCCGTGAGGAGTCGGGCTGCGGCCTTGGCCCTGTCACCCCGTGACGATGTGGCCGGCGGCGAGGGGAGGTCACACGCGCTCCCGCGTTCCCTTTACGTGAAGGACAAATGAACGGAGCATCCCCAGGAGCGCGCTCGCTGCTCTGGTAATTGAAACGCTTGTCAGGAGGGACATCCCTGATAATTCATCTCTGAACAACAATAATAAAAAAAAAAGAAAAAGGAAAATACACTGCATAAATAAACCCCACCAAATGCCTGCTAGGAGCCTGAAGAATGGCTCTGATGGAGAATGATATGAAGCAATAAAGATACCGTGTCCTTGATGATGTAAAAAAAGAGATAGTTTTCTTTCAATCCATATAAAACTCTTACTGGAAGGAGTAGTTAAACCTCGACAGTAAAAGCCGGTCTCCCAGTAGCTGTTCTGGGCTGATGCTGCTTTTGGAAGGCAACGCGGTGCGTTTGCCCAGGCCAAGGGCAGGATTGCATGCACCAGCTCTGCTGCAAGAGCAAGCACATATACATATATATATATATAAAGAGGGCAGCCTGCTGGTCTGCATTTCCCAGGATTTTCCTCCGCATCTGCATGTCCCAGGATTAATTAAAGACGAAACCAAACCAAATCTTCCGTGTTTCTTTACCAGTCTCTGTTACTGCCCGTCAAAGTAAGCCTGGGATTTGGGAAGAGTAATGGCTCCGTAACCAAGTCATAGCCAAGAAAAGTTATGGATCTGCGGAAAAGCGCTGGGCTCTTTCTCGTTATTAACATTCAGCACGTTGGCTCCCGTTAATGAGCCTTGGCAATTAAACTGCTGACTGCCTAATGCAGCTGCCTTTGCAGCGCAGCTACGGAGCCCGCTGCACGATGGCAGCTGCACGCGGCTTCCCGATGCCCCGTGTGTCCCGGGCTGGCAGCAGAGGTGGATGCTCCGTGCCGGGGTCTGCTCCGCAGCAGCGTCTCCACCACGGGACAGCCACGTCTTCCCGGGAGAGCCATGTCTCCATAGGATAGCCGTGTCTTTC